CTTCTGGGTTATTGCGCTGTGTAGTCTGGTCGATGTTTACCAACGTTTCGGAGGTCATACTGCCTCCGTCATCAGGGCGATGAATATCCGTAAACATGCGATGAATATCGCCCTGATGATGGAGGCAGTATGACCTCTGAAACGTTGGTTAACACCGACCAGACTACACAGCGCAATAACCCAGAAGACGGATATCTTCTTGAATTGTTTACCTTATAGTGTATTTCAGAATATGTAGGTAGGGCATGGTAGATCGGACATCCTCCACCATGAACAGAACTGTCAACTGACATCATCTCATGACTTACATTTTCCTGACTTCACGAGAAGACACATCTCTCGAGAGGTAAGTGTGCAAATATTTTGTGTAGTTACGTTGTGATATGTACACATGTTTACATTATAAGCTAAGCAGATCTACAGCAATTAATAGAAGTAGGAGTTATTATGCACAATATTCTGCAAAAGTTTCGTTCATGGTGTGAATATTTTATCTGCCAGATAATTTTCAGAACAAGACAACATATAAGAATGAACTCTTTGAGCTGATGTGTTGCTTCACTTTCGTTCACAGGAGCCTGCAGCAGAGATGAACAGCCAACTAAGAAATGCTAAGCGCAAAGTTTACACTGAAGGAAGAAGCGCAGTTGCGGAAGACAGAGGAAATGAGGAGAACTGGGAAAATGAATCATCCCACTGACATTGAAGAGGAGGCAAAGACTCGGGTACGCATCTGGCATTCCTTCACCCCAGGATCACGGAAGCAGTGAATAATGCTGCGTCTACCAAAATGCGAGACGGCCGAACACAGCCCTGCATTAAGATACATTTCTACACAGTAAACATAATTTACAGAAGTATTTGTGTGGCCACCAGCATGTTAATTTAGCAATGTCTGCAGAGAATCAGGATGTTTGCACCGTGGTGCAGTGAGCAGACCCGAGGAATAAAGGACATAATGCGATACTTCGTCTGTTAATTGAATTCTTTCACACAAACTGTAACATGTATTGTCGATTAACAATTAGATTTTGATATGAATTGTTTTTTTCTGTCACTTTAGAAACATCCCTCTGTCATTCTTACGTCTTTTCTTCTTCTCAGCTTTTCAGTTGGTTGTAGTTTTTGCATTTGTTTACCTTGCACTATCAAACTCTTGCTTGTTATGCCCTGCAAACAAATGATTTCAACATGTGATTGAACATCGTTTCCCCCACTAATGACCAATCATGGGATTGGAAAAATCTGAGGTATTTTAGCATTCTTTTATTCATGTGGCATGTGCTGTCAAATTAGGCACTGTGCTTTATGCATCAACTTCTGATTTAGCATTTAGTGTAATGTCAGTGTTAGGCTTGATTTTATAGACGTTATGAGAGCCTTCCACCCACTTAAAATGCAAACCACTGGACAAACATTGTATATCACAACTATACCAACCAGCCTTATAACTGCAGAGTTGTCACTTGTAACTGTGATCTGTGTATATCCTCACGACCTGCGTTGGAAATGCAGCCAGGTTCTTATGGCAGCGAACTTCATGTTGTAGGAGCTGTACAAGAAGGTGCACAGTGTGCTCAACAAGCTCACACATCAAAAATTTGATAGAAGTGATCGCTTGAAGGGCGTCATCAACCTCGTATTTGAAAGGGTGAGGCAGCATGTGTAGCAGATGATGCATTGAAACAGAAATGTCATAAGGATAAAAAATTGTCTTCCTTTTTGAAACACTGCATCTGAATTACCTACTTACTGAAAGTTAATGTGTGTAAATGTGGTTCTGCATCCTTCCTCAGTGTAATTTCAGGGGCTGCAGGAGCAAGTGAAAATTATTAAAATTTGTGTAATCTTAAATAGCAGTGACCTGATTGTTCTTTCATTAAATACAACTCCAAGCATAGAAATTTATCTTCAGTCATATATAAATAATATCTGCCACAACTAATGTCTAATGTGCAAAAAGCGAATGGTCATGAAAAGTGTTTCCAAGCCAATTGTCTTCCATCTCATCGACACTTTGAAATTCTGACATTTAAGGGATGAAAATTTAGTTTTGTAAGATTTGAGGTTTTCACAGCGGTGAGTATGAAGATTTCTGTCTTCTGGGTTGTTGCGCTGTGTCGACTGGTTGATGTTAAACCCAGAAGACAGAAATCTTCATACTCATCGCCCTGATGACGGAGGCAGTATGACCTCTGAAACGTTGGTTAACATCAACCAGACTACACAGCGCAACAACCCAGAAGACAGAAATCTTCAAATTTAGTTTTGCTGATGCTTTCTTTAGGCTGACAGGAGTTCATAATTTCAGGTGATGCAACATCTTTAGGTATAAATTCAATGCAGTTACTACTATATATATCATACATAACAAACTGACCGTGTTGTGTATTTTTGTGTGTAGGCTGTTGATGAACTAAGCTTCTCTGAGACTTACACACAATTGTGCAAGGTTCTGGCCAGTATGCAAATTCCAGCAGAGTGTGGGAACAAGAATAAACCAGAGGTCACCTTCGGG